AGGTAGTGTAGGTTGCTAATTTTTTTCAACTTTTATAGTGATTAATCTCAAGGAGAGTTGGTAACAGACTGGTCTGAATATCTAGAGCGAAAGCCACACAAATTGCTTCTACCTGCTGCTCAGAGGCGCTTTTGACAGCCCAGTTGCTTACTTTGTGGACACATGCAGGGAGGCCATCTCTTTTATGTTATAAACTCATTATCAGTAAACTTAGGAAAAGTGCTGTCTGAAGCCTAGGTCCCTGACCTGCTAACGTCAATCTTGTAGTACAGACTTAGCTCTTGGCTCCTTTTCTGGAAAATTCCAGGACTATATAAAATTCATTTCTAAAATCCCGATAGACACGTTTTGCCAAGAATGTCAGTTATCTCTTGACAGTTTGGCATTAGCCTTTAAATATTAGATTGTGTAATCATACTGCCATTCAGGGAAAATAAGGTAGTGGGTGGCTGGCATTTTAAAAGTGAAATGAACTTGGGTTCCTGGGAATGTTAATCATTATTCAGCTGAAAATGCTGATACTCCTTAATAGTAAAATGCTAAGTAAGTAAAATGCTGTATTTTGGGAATAACTTAGATGAGAGGTGAGTAAAATGTGATTTTATTTAGCAATTTCTTACCAGAACAATATTTAAGGGACATTTTATATTTTTTAAGCTTAGAAACTGAGTAAATAATGCAGGAACCTTCTAGTGAGTTCCTGTCAACCTACTAACTAGCCTGAGCGGCAGGCACATCTCAGAAATAGATAATTATTTTTGTCATTGTAACCTGCCTTCTCTTTGCTTTCCTTGCCCTTGACTTTGCAACAGAGAGCAGAAGGAAACTTGTGGCCGCTACCATAAATATACATGGTAGTAGCAGTCAAGTAATTTTTATATTTTTTGTGGGTGAGTCATTTGTTCGTGGCAATGGAAATGGCTTATTTTTAATGCAGTGTTTTCTTCCATCTAAACTTAAATTCTTTTTTTCCCATCTGATTTAGTGCCTGTACTATTTCAAGGCAGCATGTATTTAAGCATAGCTTTTCATTTCTCCAGTTGTGGTAGGAGTTTTAAAGATTTAATTCTGTTCACTTTTAGCTTTTCATATGAAATGGGATATAAGAACTCTTTAGTGTACAGTGTAATGTACTAATAAGGATAGACCCTATATATCTGGCATGTGGGTTATACCAGTGGTCACAGGAAAGAAGGGTTTGGAGCTTTGTTTTCTAATCTCATTTTAACATAACTGGGGAGGAGAATATTTGGAAAATAGAGAATTGGCATGGACTTTAATTCCAAAGTGTTTTTTTTTGTAACTGGAAAATGGAAGTAACTAGATTTATTGCAAGGGATAGAAAAGATACCTTTAATTTTTAAGAAAAGATATCCATCTGAATATTTCATAATTTAAAAATTACTAGTTTATATTAATTGCTGTTACTATAGCAAACTTGTTCTGTTAGGTGATTGCTGCTTTTACAGATTTTTATATTACAAAATTTGTGGCTTTTGTTAAACTCATTTTATTCTCTACCATATTACATTCTTTGGTTATCCTTGCGAGTTTAGTTTTGTTTAATAACTGGAATATCTTTCTCTGTATAACTGTATTCAGGTGACTACTTCTGGATACCCCAAGTTGAGCAGAAACATCGGTGGCTCTCTAGGTGGGAGAGGGCACTAGTAAGCCAGTGTGGACACTAGTAGCAGCCTATTGTCTAAATGGCTTCTAATTCATCTAGTCAGTTTCTTACTGATATTTAAGTTAATTTCCATCTTTAAATTCCAAATATAACAGTAAGGTTATTTGTACATGTATCAGATACTTTATTTTTAGTAAACTTTGTATTATTTAACATACTGTAATGTTACTTAATAACATGTGCAAAAAGTGCACGAATCATTTTTGTAACCCAGTGATATATGTAACAATAAGTCGAGGTATAATCACCACCCTACTAGCCCGCCCCCTCCCCCAAGCGCTCTTTCCAGTTATCACAGTACCACCATTACCCTAATTTAGAACTCCCTTCACTTAGTCTATTTGAAATGTGTGTAAATGGAATCATCTTGTGTTCATTTGTATCTGGTTCCTTTCCCTCTAATGTCTGAAATTCATATATTTATGTATAGTGGTTCATTTTTTTCTATATAATCTATTAGATGACTACCACAATTTATCTTTTTATTGTTATGAACCGTTGGGTTGTAATGTAGTTTTGGCTATCACCAACAGTGATATGAACATTTTTTAAAAAGCTTTATTTATGCATACAAGAACTGGGGTACAGGTCAGAGGTGTGGGGGTGAGAGGACAGAGTGGGGAGCAGAACAGGCAGAGTGACTGAAATACACTGCTGAGGGGAAAAGAGGGCCATTCAGGAGAGGTCTGCTGTGCCATGTGGGTCAGGCCACCATGGAGGGCCTGAGGGCCTAGCTATCGTGGTAGCACTGAGACTTAACCCCTAGGCCATTAGGATGCCCTTTATCCAGCTTTTTAATCTTTATTCAATTAATAGTGAAAAATGTCTCATTTTAAAACTGCTTTGATTAACTTTTTATGTTTTAATTGCCTCATTTCAGTTTTTTTCATTTGACTGCTATGATATTTTCTTTGGGAGTATTCCTAATCTTTTTACTTCATAATAACTCATTAAACTTTTTTGTGTGTTATATGCTATCATTTTCTTCCTAGTTTGTTTTTGTTTTAACTTTGTCTTTTAAATATGTGCGCATGCTTGCATCTGCTAATTTTTTCCTCCCTGGTTTCTGGCTTTGGTGTCATTCTTAGGAAACTCTCCATTGCCAAGATTATTTTTTTTTTTTTTTCAGTTTATTCGACGGCTTTATCGTTTGTATTTAATTTTGTTTATTGTAACTAGATTTGATGTCTTTTTCCCTGACACAAAGGAGGCTTTTTTTTATATTTTAAAATGATTTGGGGGCTCCCTAGTGGCACAAGGGATTAAGACGCAGCGCTATGAAGCTAACCACAGTTTGATCCCCAGCCAGGGAGGTGACCCACACGACACAGCAGACCTCTCCTGAATGGCTCCCTGCTCTCCTCAGCAGTGTTTTTCAGTTGATCCGCCTTTTCTCTTCCCCACTCTTTCTCTGGTGAATCCTCTCACCCCACACACCTCTGACCTGTACCCCAGTTCTTGTATCCATAAATAAATAAATCTTTAAAAAAAAAAACAATTTGAACTTTTATTTCCACATTAGCATTCACAGTAGCTTTGGAATATTAGGTGTCAGGGTGACTGGTCAGGAAGAATTTGTTATACCAGAGCTTCCTTGGTTCCAAGCATCCTTTGACCAAGTGAGAGATCAAACTGATACTATTTGAATCCTTCTTCCTATTCATATCATTCCAGTGTACATGCTACTAAAGTTGTTAGTTTTCATTTAGAAAAAGAATGAGATGAAATTACTATAGGATATTATATCTTATTTAATTCCTCTAGTGGATACTTTTCAAGACTTTTGAGCAAGGACTTTGCCAAAAGTCCACCTGGTCTCTCATATCTGTGGCCTATAGGAGAGAGGATTGGAGAGTCAATTATTTTAAACCTTTAAAAATACCAGTCTTCTCTATTTAAGAGAGCATTTAAATTTCTCATTGGCTTCTTTCTCTTTTGTATAATAGTGCATATAATTAAAAAGTAGTTTGCCCTGCTCATTGAGGTAGATGAGACCAATTTTTCATATATCATTTTTTGTTGTTTTTACTGTGGGATTTGAAAATTCCCTGCAGCCCCCATACCTAAAATTTCTATCAATAGAGTCATTATTGGATTAGACACAAAGCAGAGACCTAACGCAGATATTACACCAGTCATACTTTCTATTCTACTGAGATTGATAGATTCCATTTCTATAATTGAATCTTAGCACTTTAAATGGGTGAAAGTCTCAGAAGCAGTTAAGTCTTTGAGGAAGAGAGCATAGGCATTTACTACTCTGCAATTAGAGCCCCAGAGTACATCAGAATCTAGAAGCCAGCCTAAAGGGAGATGGATTTTTGGGAGGGAGAAAAAGAGGAGTAAAAATAAATGCTTCAGAAAAGATTAAAAATCAATTTTTTTTTTTTTTTTTTTGCTGATCTTTTGTATTTGGCAGTACTACTTGTAGCAGTGTTGTATCGTTAAATTAGTTTGATTGTTCCTCAAGCCAAGTAGAAAATTGTGGAAACTTCCCTTTGTAAATTCATAATTTTAGGAGCCTAGCATTTCCAGTTTAGAATTAGTGTTTTTGTGTATTTGAATTTGACTACAGGGAATACTAGTTCTATATTAAAGGCTTGTTGGGGATAGGTTGGGGGAGAGAATATAAAAGTGAGAAAGAACATAAGTGCCTGTTTTTAATTTACACATATGCAAAATACAGTCTTTTTTTTTTTTTTAAAGATTTATTTATTTATGCATACAAGAGCTGGGATACAGGCCAGAGATGCAGGGGGTGAGAGGATTTACCAGAGACAGAGTGGGGAACAGAACAGGCAGATTGGGGAACAGCGGGCAAGTCAGGAGAGGTCTGCTGAACCATGTGGGTTGCTCCCTGGCTGGCCAGGGATTGAACTCATGCTGCAGAGGCTGCAGATTGCTTCATAATGCAGTGCTTAACCCCTTGCACCACCAAGGAGGCCCTCAAAATGCAGTCTTAATCATTTTACATATTTTGCCCATTTAATCCTTACAGAAATTTATGAAGTGGTGTTTTCTCATTTTACAAAGAGATAACAGACACAAGGAGAGAGTTTAAATTGTTTGGGCCTGCAAACCCAGTAAGTGAAAATTCTGGGATTTGATTACCAATTTCTTGAATCTAAAGTTCTTGCATATTCTGTTGAGAGTATATACTGTCTTCTAACTTAACAGATTTTTTATATTTTTATCAGTTTCACATTAAATTTTGATAACATTTTAAATGGCATACCTTGGGAATGTCAGTCATCATTAGTGCTTCCAGGTAACATAAAGTCTGTGTAATTTCCTTTACCTTCCACCTTAGCATTGAGAGTAAGCATGAAGTTACAATCCTGGGAGGACTCAATGAATTTGTAGTGAAGTTTTATGGACCACAAGGAAGTAAGTACATGTGTTGGTATGTGTTCTAATTCTATTACAGTTTTTTACTCTGTTTTAATACACAGTGGGAATATCATACAGAGGGTGATATGTGTAGTTTTTGAAGATAGAGTTGAACACTACAAGCAGGAAGTACCTTGTGCTCTTATTGTAATTATTTATTGGTTTTCCTTTTTATTTCTGTGTGATAGTATTAAACATGAGTTGGGAATTCTGGGTTTTGTGATGGATAACCACATGGATGCTTTGGGGAGGGGGGACTTTTATTTTTCTGGGTTTTGTTGGGAGGGCATAGCGGGAGTAATTGAGATAGAAAGCTATCACTTACCACATAATTGAATTGTGTTTAATACTTTAAATAATAAGGTAAATTGGGGGAGAGAGTTATGGTTTACTTACTTTATATCTCTTGGTCTTTTTTTTTAAATATATATAATTTTTTTTTTTAGAGAGAGATTTATTTATTCATGTATACAAGAACTGGGGTACAGGCCAGATGTGCGGGAGGGTGAGAGGATTCACCAGAGACAGAGCGGGGAGCAGAGCAGGCAGACTGACTGTAATACACTGCTGAGGGGAGCAGTGGGCGAGACAAGAGAGGTCTGCCATGCCATGTGGGTATCTCTGTGGCCAGCCGGGATTGAACTCCCACTGCAGGGGCTGCAGACAGCTTCATAGTGCTGCGCTCAACCGCCTGCGCCACCAGGGAGGCCCTCTTGGTCTTTTAAAGAAAAATGTTTTAATCTGAACATGGAATACCTACTAGCTATAACAGGTCCATGACTTGAAATTTGTATTTACATCAGTTTCATTTTAAATTTTGATAACACTTTAAAAGGCTTACCTTGGGAATGTCAGTCATCATTAGTGCTTCCAGGTAACAAGTCTTGAAATTAATTTTGAAAGAAATTAGGATCTAATGTGTATTTATAGTCAGATTTACTTTCTAATATGGAGACAGTTCTAATGTTGAACATTTTTACTTTTCTTTTAGCACCATATGAAGGGGGAGTATGGAAAGTTAGAGTGGATCTTCCTGATAAATACCCTTTCAAATCTCCATCTATAGGTATGTAACTACCCAGTTTCTTTCCTTAAGAGAGTTTTGAAATCAAGGGGGGAGAAATTTTACATTTTGTGGGAAATAATTCTAGAGTCACTATTTAACTGACCTTTCCTCCTTTTTTGGCTTTGGTTCATTTGTGACTTTGGGGGGGACTTCCATAGTTCAGATACACCCTTTGTGTGATGATTGTGATAGCTATAATTCTATGTTTTTCTTGTTCAGGGTCAGACTAAACAATTAATTTTAAGACCCCATTCATTTAAGGCTATTAGCGGTAAAATGAACCTCTTCTGTTAAATGCCAGATTGTTGGAATTCTGTTCTACTAAAATAGAGTATCCATTATAATTCTGTCATCTGAAAATCCTCTCTGTATCCTACCTAGCAGTGAAATGACCCTTTTCCAATTCCCCTACTCCCCGTCTTTTTAGTCCTTTAAACAGTGGGAGAAAGTTGAATAGAAACCTTGGTGGGGTTGTATACAGAGGTATTTTTTCCATACTGTTTTCCCTCTGTCTTAATTGGGTATATTATTAACCTGTCACCCCCATTAAGGCACCTACTGACAATTTAGGAATTGAAGGTTAACACTTTTAACTAATTTTATAGTAATTATATTATTTTCTATAATTATATTATTTTCTATAATCTATAAGATTATAGAATGGTAGTAATTTTGCTAATTTAATCCAGCTTTTAAACATTTCATTCTTAGATGATTTAAAAATATTATGAAACATTGACCAATTTTAAGGAAGAACAAAATAAAATTAGAACATGTTGAACACTGATGGCTACACTGACTGAGCCTCATGTTCAGAATTGTTAGAGTTGAAACATCTTGCTACTGCTGTGGGCTTGTCTTTGAAACTAATGCCAAATCTCTTGTTGAGACACCATTCCTCTCACCCCTGAACCAAAAGGGTTTTTTAAGGAGGTGGACCACAGACATTCTGAGCTTTATGTTATGATTCCAGGCCCCCACATTTCTTAGATAAATAATACAGAAAGGTTATGATAGTCAGGAACTAATTTCCAATAAATTGCAGGACCCTCTCCCTCAACCTCTAGCTTCCTTACATGTTTTATGCTATAAAAAAAAAATACTATGGAGAGTTTATAATTCCTTATTAGGCTGGGAAGCCTTAATGGTGACTTAAAGAATTAACTGGTATTTTCCACTTAAGTTCCCTTAGGTGAGTTTTCTAAGCTCAGTGATTGAGAAGGTACTTTATGGATAATTGAATTGGAAATTTCCCATTGCTGCAAGGATCTTTGAGTTTCAGATGCTGAACTAGAAAGGGCTCTGTGAGATGTTGACAGCAACCCTTTTCCAATTCCATTCCGGCTGGTGGAATGTAGGTTTTACAAAGGTTAGATGGGCTTTTCTATCATGTTATGGTTTCCCTGTCCCGTTTCTATCTTAATTTGAAGTATTCTTTCTATACCTGCATTTAAAACTTTATGCAGTTGAATGGAATGAACTTTAAGCCTTTACAAGCAGAATGTCCTAACCATATAAATTCATTTGAATATATTTCGCAAATGCCTGTTTATTTAAAGGCTAGAAATTGGTATGCTAAATCTAGTTTTGTTGCCCAAATTCCTAATCAGAAAGGAAACTATAACTTGTTGAAACTAACAGTTAACCTATAAAAATGCAATTACATACCCTATGGAGATGTAGTTGTTTCTCAAAGCTTGTCTTAACATATTTTTCTGAGCAATATGATTACTTCATAACTTTTAAAGTGAATATATCTAAACTTTAGACAGTTTTTGAACTAATGGCATGAGAAGCCGATGACTTTAATTAACAATGTAAATATGAAATTGGCTGGTACAGATAACTAGGCTAATTTAAGTTCTTCCTAATTTTCTTTTGCCTTTCTCTATGCTTGGTTAATACCTGCAAATGTGTACCATCTTCTTTAAGGGAAGTAGATCTAGCTGAAATATTTGTACAAGCTGTCCTTGTTTCCTCCAAAGGAACATTGCATAAGAGAGTTTTAATCATTTGTGTGGGGTGACCCATTTTCAGGTCATCAACAATGTAATTACTGTTGGAATGTGCTTTAAACATTTGGAGAGGTAGTGGCTCACTTAGAATAGGCAAGGTTTCCTTTTTGGGTTGTACAGATACTTGTAAATTTATACAGAGGGGCACAGAAATAGGATAAACCCAACTTCAGTGTTCTTTTTAAACACTGCCTCTAACAGTCATACCCTTCTTCTTGAGTCAAATTTTAAACTCTTAATATTAAAGTGTGCACCTTTTACTTAGCAAAATTAAGATGTCTCCTAATTTACCCATCAATGAGGTATCATTATTTGCATTCTGGTGTATGTACTTTAAAACATTTTTCAATGCATATTTAGGTGTATGTTCAATATAATCTGACATGCTCATCTTTCAGGTGCCCTCCAAAAGTTTTAAAAGAATTGCAATGAGCTGTAACTAAAATTGTCCTTTATAAAACACTGCATCTTTAAATAAGTGTGTGGTTTTCTTTCATAATAGTAATAAAGCAACTTAAAGAGTTTAACTAGACATCTTGAAGGTAATGAACGCTGACATTGCCTTCGTTGTTTAGACTTCTTGGGTTCACCTTTTGGAATTTTACATTCTCTTTGAATGTGTTAAGTGACAGCAAATCTTAATGCTTTGAAACTGTATATAATTTTTTTAAAATGGCTAAATAAAGGTCATTTAATCCCAGAGAATTAATGAGTGGAAAGATTGTGTAACATCAGTTGGGGTGTAAGATAGATTATTCTGGAATTGACTGGCATTTTAGGATTATGATTTTCTTGATAAGTTTGGCCCAATGGACCCTTTCAAAGAGAAATTATAAAAATTCTGTAACCAGTTGTAACATCATTGAAATATTTGCGAAGTTGTCAGAAAATACTGATTTGGAATAAGTCATATTTGAATCTTTTAAGTTCTGTCTTCTTTGAGAGTTCAGACTTACACCTTTTTCATTGAGAAATATTCCTAGAACGCTTAGCAGTGCCTATGGGTGTCACTAACTATGTAGAGTGGGGAGAGTCTGGTTGGTCATTGGACTCTTTATCAGGAAAGCCTGTTTCTGGCCTGAGAGAGAGAACTCACCTTAGCCATTGTTTCCTCTTCTAGAAAATTGAAATACTGGAATTTCATGAACTCTGATATTGACCGATGTGTTAAATACTTAGAGTATGTGGCATCCTACTGGGCATTAGGAAGGCTTTAGAAGGCCTTCACTGGCTAGGAGAAAAGATCAACATAAATAAAATACTGCATATACTGTAGTGACAGTGTTTCTTTTTTTTATAGAAAAGCTATGAATAAGCACCTTCAGTTTAGGAAATGTCAGTGCATCTAGGCGACAGGCTTTTATAAGAAATCCTGTGTGTGCCGAGAATATAGTTTTCACAAAGCTTCCCTGATATGAAGGTGTACATAAGGACTGTAGAAGTACTCTTTCAAAACCCCTCACTCCATACAAAGAAGTTGCTACAGAGCCTGCCATGTTCTCCAGATTCATGGTTTCCAACCATTACACATGTGCTCATCTATAAAGAGAAAACTTTTACCAAAGAAAAGACTTGCATTTGCTGTGAGGTGAAATAAAGATAAGTGATTGCATATAAAGAAGTAACATGGAGCAATTTTTTATAAAAGTAAAAATAACTAAAAATAAGCATAGGATACACAATGATTTTATCTAATCCAAAGAATGCAGATTTTTACAAAACTGCAGGTTAAACATTGTTGGCAAAGGTATTAGCCAACCTAGCGGTATATATTGACGATTTTATTGCCTTTTAGTGATTTTACTTTAAAATTAAATAATCCTAAGGAAACATTCAGAGCTGTGCACTAACATTAATATGTAAGAATATGTAAATTGCAGCATTATTTTTAAAACTTAAAAGTTGGGAACAACCTAAATTACCCAGTTGACCGTTGTTTTAATGCACAAAAATGTTTTACAGACATCACTGATATTTTAACAGCATCTTTGAAGGAGTTCTCAGGGAGATGTATAACTTTATATAGTGTAACTCTAATTATTTTCCATGCACATTCCAAGCATGAATGCTGAAATATAGACTACAGTTATCTGTGGGCTGTTTGAAGGGATTAAAACCATTTTGTAATTTCCAAATACTCTGCAAGAAGTTCCTTTTTGTTACAAATATTTTTAAACACATGATTAGAAGCATGTCTTTTGAGTGTCCTGTCTACATCTCTGTCTGAGTCTACATTTCCATTCTTTTGCTCTAGAAAGCTAACAAGCTATCCTGGGAAAGAATTTCTACCAGGTCCCCATGTTTCCCACCAACCTCCCTTCTTTTTATCCTTTGAATTTTAATTACCTCGTGCATGTAAATGTCATGCCTTCCCCTTTCCTATATCTTCCTCCTTACAGTTTAGTTTATTATGTCTTGGATACAATCTTTATACCTTTACACATAGCTTTTCCTCGCTGTTTTTTTTTTCCTTTTTTCCCTTCTCTTGGGCTGTTACCTCAAGCAGTTCTTCTCTTTTTAGACTGACTCTTCTGCTTTTGTTCCCCCCTTGCTTCATTTTTCTCTTCATAAGAACCAAAAAGGGCCCTGTTCATAGCTAATAACAATAATAATAGTAATTCTTCTGATAAATGAAACCAGGGGGGAAATTACGTCTCCTAATAAAATACTAGATTTAAGTAAGGCCTTTCAGCCACTAAAGACCTTGAAACTACCTGAAGTCCCTTAATGATCTACGGAAATCTCTATCACATCATATTTACTTTGCTTATATACCTGCATTGGAGAGGAAGTTAAGGTGTCATTTCGTCTTAATTTTAAATGATTACTGGCATTCTGATTTCAGATTATGAGTTTCAGATTACTAGTTTCAGAATTTCAGAGCTGCATTCTACGTAGAACCATAGAGTAGTTTTTAATCTTTTGTAATCAACCATAAGACCAGCCTGAGAGTGCTGTCATTATACTTTTTAAAATAGAAAACTG